CTCTTATTGGTTGATTATCTCCTTAAGATACTTAAGATTTTTGCCCTGTGGGGTACTATTCAAATTTCTTAAAATACTTACAGAGAATTCAAGAATGTTTGGGTCAAAAAACAAGAACTCAGATTATTATACTACCTACACTATGGAATGCGGTACTTGGGAAGGAACCATTTTGTAGTGAAAAACCATCTTGTTCCAACATGGATGGTGATGGAACACAGTACGTAATGTAACAACAATCCAAAACCACGTAAGATGCTACTAAATAATTATGTATGACTCTGTGTTACTAGGAAAGCTTTTATGGAAAGAGTTTTCAAAGATACAAGTTAAAGATGGTCAAATCACTTTATTATAGCAAAAGCTGAGGAGAATAACTTCAATATAGTTTTATATGATTGTTTAAGAGGAAAACAGATTCTTGTTACACTTTCACAGATCAAAGCCTAGTATGAGGGAATATCGATTTGAAGAATGATTAATTTGGGACACCTCCCTTCCCTGACTCCTGCTGTGCTATTTCATCATTGCAGGAGAACTGCTCCTGGGAAGGATGAGTGAAGAGCGCCAGTCGTACATGCCTAGAATATATAATCCCAGCAGGATTAGCCAAGGCATGAGGTCAATCCAGCAGCACTGCTAAAGAAAGGAGGCACCTAAAGCACAGCATAACAACAATATAGGAAGATGCTGGAGGCAGACGATCATATTTAATGATAATTGCAAGGGCATCAATTCATACTGTTTGGGAACAGTCAATGATAAATCAGTGTAATATTTTTACCAAGAAAACTTTGCCAATCTGGAGGCCAAGTTTCACTATGGTCTGCCCATACTGGGGCTTCCTGACCTGTATTACAATGATACGTTCTGGAAAAGGAGTCATGGATATATATATACTAGTTTATTTATTCAACCTATGTACTAGACATATACATTATGTATATGTCTGAAAAAGGAGTCTGAAAAACATGGATATATATCCTTTATTTAATCAACCTATGTATTGAACATATACATTAAGCAAAGCAGGATTGGAAAAAGATGAACATGATTTTAAAGTTTGTCAGTGTATAAGAAATTATGAGCTGGGATAGCCATAACAAAAAGTCAGCCAATGGGAACTGTTTGGTGACTAAGAAACAGGATCTGTTGTGAGCCATGGGAGACGGTTTAGAGCCTGGGCGTGGATTACCTTAACTGGTCTCTCTCTATATATAGATTCTGTGCTTCTGTGCTTCCTGGTTCTGACTTCTACTTCTACTTCTTGTTCTTGCTACCACGCTGCAAGGGCTGCATGGATATTGTATATATGCATCATGCTTTATATTATTGTATATAAACAAGTTTCTTCTATAAATGAATCTTGCTGAATTATTTACTTGTGTGCTGCAAATTCTAATAAAGTTGCAGAAAGAAACTTTGCTGATTAGATTAGATTATCATTACTCCAATAGCCAAAAATACAAAGAATCTGCAAGCTCTGTAGGTAATCTGCAAAATCATAAAAGTCAAGTTTAGTCTCATTGAATAAATGAGACTAAAATATATAGGCAAACAGGTAGAATAACCAGAATTGACAAAGATACTGAGCAGGTACAAAACCTCTATGTTTTTGGAAGAACTATTGACAGTAAAGGAACAAACAGTCCAGAATATTCTGCAAACTAGCACTTGGTACAATAGACATGAAGGGCTTATACTGTAAACACATCACAGTATCTGTATTCTTTTAATCTACAGAAATCATACTATTATGAACAATGATATTCCTTGTAACACTATAGAAATGAAAGTTGGATTTTGAAGAAGCAGGACAAAGATAAAACAATGGTTTTAAAAGCATTGGGTGTTGGGGGAAAATTCGTTATAACACCATGGATAGTTAAGAAAAAGGATCACCAAACAAATCAGCACACATTTCTCGCTCAAAGCACAAATGACTGGCTCAAGTTATACTACTTTGGATATTCCTACTTTGGAAAGGCTGTAATTCTGGGAAAGATGGAAGGACAAAGGACAAAGAGGATGGTCAGCAGCAAAGACAAACTCAGTTATAGTGATGAGCACTGTTGGAAAGACAATCTGTCCCCTAACAGATTGTCATGGAAAAAAATCTTTGTGGTTATTAAGACTCTATGTTGATGGCACATAATTGAAGTTTAAGTAAAGAGTAGGGGTTTACTATACAGTATAAATAAAATCTAAATACTCCCCTTGGCATGTTCTCTTAAGCAGAACACTTTGACCTATGTCAATAAATAGCAAGTCTCAGCCATCCAATTGTCTTCTATTTTTCTTTTAACTTTCATATCAAGCACAATATCCTGATTCTTAGATGCACACATGAATGTCTGATCTCAGTAGCTTTTGCTACCAAACTGTTTAATGGAGTTGCTATATTACGGTATATCTGCAGTTCAGTTTTAAAACTGTAAAACAGAAATGGGAAACCTAGTGGTGAACAAGCAAAGACAAGTGCTTAACAAGTGCTTAACAGAAGGCCACAAATTAGATGGAAGCATATCACTCTTCTGGATAATGGGCATGGAGGATTTCATTTTTTTAAAAAATTGAAATATGCTTGTCTTAGGGCCTAACATTAGTCTTCTAGTGTTTCCATCTTAATATGGCAAGAAATTGTTTCATCATGCAGAAGATGGCTCAGGTTCTCCATTCATCTTTTCAGAAATTACTGGATTCGGAAAAAATCTCTACTATTTGTAGGATGTCTTACCCATCCATAATCATGGCATCCAAAGTCGTTTCTCCATGTTCATCTGGACTTCCGCCATATCCTACACTTCCATCACACTGTTCTATTTCACACTGCCCACAACCTTTTTCTACTGCATCAAGTTCCGAACCTCCTGCTTGTAAAGTATTCCAAGCTGCAATCAAAAGCACGTAAACACTTATTACCGCTGGTTGAATGCACATCATTTCTCTAACAAGAAAAGCATGCAAATTTTACACCCATTCTTACAACATGCAACTGGCTCAATATAAATATGTGCACATGTCAAAAATCATATGAATTCACCAAACGTTGTCAATAGAAATGTGCAGGATTTTTCTTATAAATACTATTCCAAGGTAAGTAAGCCACAAATTTATAGTCTGAATCTAAGGAATAACCATTCAAAGCACTTCAGTCTCGTGTCATAAAAAGTAACCTAATTGGAGAAAGATTAATTTTTATAACTTCTTGGTTACTTCTATATTGTCTTTAAAATCTGCCATTAGTAAACCAGAATTAAAAAGAGCTCTTTGATTTTATGGAATCACTTTTTTTTCCTTTCAGCTTTGTTACAGAACACATGCTAAACTAAATTTAGATCCAGGAACATTCCAACATTACTTATATTAAAACAACAGCACAATCTTTGAAATATTCACTCCAAAGTAGGTCTTATTATACTCATTAAGACTTACAAAGATAGTTATGCTTTCCCTACTAATTATTATTAGCAACAACTGCAAATCAAAATGCTCAATTCATCAAAATGTAAAAACTTATTTAAGAAGTTTTTTTGAAGCTCAATTCCTTTTATTTTAATTTATCAATTAAAATAAAAAAATTTATTTCTTGGCAACAATATATGGAATGGCTTGCCGTTATCATCTCCTGAGATGGATTTTAAAATCTTCCAATGATAAGATTTTCTAATAGCTTTCCTTTTAAGTATTAAGCAGATTCTATGCTGCTGCTTATCTTTTTGAGAATAACCAGGTTCAATTTTATTTCACCAAAAGATCTACACATCAAATGTACAAATTAGCGTATACATCATTTTTAGCAACTGCCAGGGAATGGGGTCATTATCTCTAAGAGTTGTTAATCTGTATTACATTGATGGACTTTAAACCATAATATAAAGTGAGAATTCCCCCCTTCCCCTTTCAGTCATGTCCAATTCTCGGAGACTGCCTGGAAAGTTCCTTCAGTTTTCTTGGCAAGGCTATTCAGCAGTGATTTACCATTGCCGCCTTCTTAGGGCTAAGAGAAAGTGATTGGTCCAAGGTCACTCAGGTGGCTTTGTGCTTAAGGCAGCATTAGAAATAGCAATCTCCCAGTTTCTAGCCAGGTATCTTAACCACTCATTCACTGCCATCCTTCAGTCTCAAAAGACTATCGTGCTCTGGAAAGAGGTCCTAAAACAGCATCTAGTTGACTAAAAAGGCCAATTTCACAGTGGCTTAATCACTAACCAAACAGATTTAAAGCAAGGGTCTCCAACCTTGGCAACTTTAAGACTTGTGGACTTCAACTCCCAGAATTCCTCAGCCGGCTTTGCTCAGTGTGTCACCAAAGCTGGCTGAGGAATTCTGGGAATTGAAGTCCACAAGTCTTAAAGTTGCCAAGGTTGGAGACCCCTGCTCTAAAGAGAGCAATAATCAGTAGCATTTTGCTCAGCATGTAAAGATGCAGGTACTTAAACCTGAAATCTGTTTTGAGTGCAAACCAAACACATGCCAAGTAATACGGGGAAAAAAATTCTCCCTGAAGTATACGGTAATCATTTATAAGGCAGCTTGATGACGTTATATTACACTATTAACTGCATCAGCCTAGAGGGAACCTAAATGCAGTAGGAAGGAGCAAGCAGATAAAGGAAGATACAAAACTTTCGGAAAGTCCAGATTATGGTGAAAAATAGACCCACGTTGATGCCTCCCCAACCAAGGACGGAAGAAAAAGCAGCAGCACCTATTTCGTTAGCATTCTTAAATGCCCAGGTGTTGATGACCAAAGGCAGCTGAGGCTCCCCAGCGCTTGCTGCAGCCAGGCCCCCCACCCCGTGTAACAATGCTAAGAACCAGCAGCATCCCCGGCATCGGCTGTCGCGTCCCATGGCAAGAACAAAGTCGAGGATTGAACACCGACTCTCGGCCGCCCAGCAACAACGAATTCCGATCGCCTTTCTGTTTCTCCCGCTTCTCGTGACCAAGGGCAAGGAGGACGCATGCGCAGGGAATAGACCAGGAAGAGTTCGCTAGAGCTGCGCATTCGGAAGTTCACATCGGCAGCCGCTTCCAAACCTCGGTCGGACGACGGAAGCGCTCCTGGTTTCCCTCTGGTGTTTCTCGAGGGTTGAGGTTGTGAGAAGCCTAGTTCGGAAGTGGGTCGTGGGAGCGAGCGCGGAAGCTTTCAGAAAGGAAGAAGCTGACTGTAGGGATGCTGGGGGTAGGAAATTGAGAGAATGAGGCTCTACATTACTTGTAGAGCTATTTGTGGCTGTGTTTGCAAGCCCGCTCGTGTTTAACTCAATCGTGGTTTGCTTAACCCAGTTCTCTGGTCTCCAAATAGCGATTGAACCAGTACCGTAGCAGTTTCTGGTATGAATGATATCTTACAGAGTAGGAAAGGTTAAGAGTACTTTCAATCTGTACTTGAAAGTCAAGTACAAGTATCAGCATTCTATCAGGATTAATTACAATTCTCATTATCTTTGAATGAGAAATGTAATTGATGCAAAATGAAGTTTGCATTACAATTTTAATTTCTTCTAAGGAAATAATAAACAGAGTTAGAAGGGACCTTGGAGGTCTTCTAGCCTAACCCCCTGCTCAAAACAGGAGACCCTATACATTCCAGACAAGTCTCATCTTAAAAGCCTCCAGTGATGGAGCACCCACAACTTCTGAAGGCAAGCTGTTCCACTGGTTAATTGTTCTTACAGTAAGGAAATTTCTCCTTAGGTCTAGGTTGCTTCTCTCCTTTATTAATTTCCATCCATTGTTTCTTGCCTTCTGATGCTTTGGAAAATATTTTTATTTATTTATTTATTTGTCAAGCATGTATAAGATAACATAAAAGTATAAACATGATTATGAATACATGAAATGGATACAAATAAAAAGGGACATTAGGACAGGGACGGTAGGCATGTTGGTGAGTGTATGCAAAAATAGATAGACGACTTTGTGGTGGCCTCTCAAATATTAGAACATTGCTATCATGTCACCGCCTAATCCTTTTCACTAGACTAGACTAGACTAGACATACCCAATTCCCAAATACTTCTATTATTATTCAAATTTATATAGCTGCTCATCTCACCAAAAGGAACTCTGGGCAGCAGACAGCAATTGGATAAGAATAGAAATCATCTAGAAGGAATACAAAACATACAATATCATATATACCAGAGTTTCCCAACTTTTCCGGGTTGCTGGACCGGAAGGTGAAAGAGGGAATGGTTTTGTGGGAGGGGTAAGTACACCCTCTGCCCCATTGCTTGTGTGAGTATGGCCATGAGCCGCCATGATGTTCGCGCAAGGGACTCCCAAGTGCCTGCAACGCTCGTACGAGTGGGGCCGTGAGCTCCTGCAATGTTCGCACAAGTGGGGCTGTGTGCATGCGCGCACTCCAGCCAGGCCCTCATGCAGCCTGCTTGCAAATAGGCTGCGGCCTGGTATGGGCCGCAGCCCACAGGTTGAAGACCCCTGATATATACAATAAACTAGGCAAAGAAGATATAACCATTCTCAGTAATGGAGATATCCAAGGATATTTCTGGTTCCCTGGGAGCCTCAGGCCTGATGACATGTCCAGAACTTGACTACTTTCAGGATTATCAAAAGGATTGGAGCTAATCTAATGGTGAGTGTCCTAGCAGAGAAGGTCTGCTGAGATCACCAAGTATAGATCCTCAGCTTCTAGTACCCACAATATGCCTTCTCTGCTCAATCTAATAAGGTGGGCTGAAATAAGCAGTTTCTCGGATAGCCCAGTCCCATGCCTTGAAGGGCTTTAAACATTAAAATCGACATCTTGAATTGGACCTAAAAGCAGACTGACAACCATTGCAGATTGGAGGAAAGATTGGATTGTAATTGAGTTGATGCACTACTAATTAAGCCATAATTGCTTAACTATGCCTAATATAAACCACCTTTGAATAACTAAAACATCAATTCTGACTGAATTCACACAGCATGCTAAGCCAATATCAACCAAAATAAATTACAGTTTAGTTGATCTCTGAACCAAATCGTGTTCTATTAGGCTCTAAAGCTGCATACTTACTGAGAAAATTGGGTTCTGCATATGAATGTATTTGGCACACAGAGTAACAAGATGGCCATTTATTTAGTTGGTCATCTGAAGGCCTAAGCAATAGCAGTAGGACTATAATTGTACTGGCCTAGAGAGGAAAATTCAAAAGATAATACTGCAAGAGCCAGCTTCCAATTACAACAGCTAAAGCAGAATGGTCGAAAGAATTTCAAACCATGTCAAGAGCAAAGCATAGGGAAAACTGTTTTGGTTTATTTCTGAGCTGCTTGCAATCAGTTGTGGATGGTTTGTACATGTCTGTAATTGTAATAAATTACATATAATTACATATAATTATATTGATTATATATATATTATATAATTATTATATTATATTATAATAATTAATTATATTGATTATTAATGATTATTGGTGACCTTGTTTAGTGACTATCTCAGGCATCAACCATTTGAAGTTATGATAGTAATGAAAAAATAATTCTATGACCAATGTCTACATTTATGATTGTCAGTGTCTCTGTCTCTCTCCCTCTCTCTTGTAATCCCCTTCTCTTAATGAATATAAATATAAGCATTATTTCTCTTTTTGCTAATTATCCCAGCACCTGATTGAGTAAAATCCAAAACACAGTTGTTGACACCTGACTTTTCCACTTAATAGTGAGTCTTGAGGAACAAGTTGTGGGTTCCAACTGTGGTTGCTAGATGAGAATTATCTGCATATTAGTTACATTTTATAGTCAGTTTATGGGCAGAATTACCTTTTTTTTAAAAAAAATTGATTTATATGCCACCCTTCTCTGGAGACTCAGGGCGGCTTACAAGGCATTAAGCAATAGCCTTCATACTTTTGTATATTTATACAAAGTCAGCTTATTGCCCCCACAAACTGGGTCCTCAATTTACCTACCTTAGAAAGAATGGAAGGCTGAGTCAACCTTGAGATTCGAACTTAAAGTAATTGCAGACAGCTGGTGTTAATCACAATGCTATCAGTCTGTTGGCCACCAGGCCCCGTAACCTTAATGCGAGTCCTGAGTAGTTTGCTATCCCTTTGGGTAAATATACTGGCCGTACTGAGTTGCACCTAATCCATAGTATTCTAATCTTGTTCTTTTAAAAAACTTATAGCATGTTGTGATTTCTGTTAAACAAAAAAGATCTACTGTTTGTTAAGTAATGTCAAACATTACTTTAGCTGAGGATACCATTTACCAACTAAAATTATCTACCTGTTTCAACAGAAACCTTTATTGAGAAGACACCAAAAGTCTATGTGATGAAATAGCCAGATATCTTTTACAGAAACCAATTCGAACCAACTGTAAAATAAATTTTGTAGCTGATTAACTGGCACCTAAAAATACAGCCAAATTATTAGCTAGCACAAAACCTTGTTTATATTTCCTGTTTGAACATGATAAAGAATATGCTATTTACCAAGGCATCCCACCCTTCCAAGATTTTCTGAAAGTTCATAAGCATAAGTGTAATGGCTTCTGTGGTGTTTGGTGGATAGCACACAAGTAGTCCTCAACTTACAAGAGTTCATTTAGTGATTGTTCGAAATTACAGCAGCACTGAAAAAAGTGACTTATAACCATTTTTCACACTTTCGACCATTGCAGCATTGCCATCATCACATGATCAAAATTCAGATGCTTGGCAACTGACTCATATTTATGACGGTTGCAGTGTCCCAGGGTCATGTATCACCTTCTGCGACCTTTGGAGAAGCAAAATTCACTTGACAACCATGTTGGTAACTTAACTGCAGTGATTCACTTAACTGTGGCAAGAAAGGTGGTAAAATGGGGCAAAATTCACTTATCAAATGTCTAATTTAGAAACATAAATTTTAGGCTAATAGTGGGCATAACTTGAGGGCTACCTATATATAATATCTGGCCTTTGATTCATTCCTATTTTCTCAGTGAAGTCCACTGAATAGATTGTACAATGTTTATTTACAACCATTTTATTTAGGAAGGAAGCCTGTGGTTCGTTCTAGTCTGAAGAGTCTGAAAAATAATCTGCAAATATAGCTCTAGATGCCTTTTCTAAAAGCAGGGAACCTAAGCCAAATGAAAACACTGGGTTTTTCATATATTATTTCATGAGCACAAGCTAAATAATCTTATTCAAGTTTTAAGAAATTTGATGCTGCTGAATTCATATTTTGCTATGTTTGCTAAAAACAATTTACAGTTGTTTTGTTAGCATTTGTGCAACAATTGCAGAATGAGGGGGGATTTTTTTGGCTAATCTATGATAGAGCCCACTAGAGTGAGTAATGTAGATAGAAATAGCAATAGCACTTAGACTTATATACCAAATGTTTACTAATTAAAAATACTTTTTTCTAATTCTTACTTTAAGAAACGGTTTCAATTTATTATATGCTGTTTATTTTATATGGTTTTATGTATTTTATTACAGGATTTTCAACATTTGGAACATTAATGGATAATAGGAGATCTAAACAATAGTTTTTAAAAATTAAATGTAAAGTTTGACTTTCTAAGCAATAAGCAGTTATTCAAATCTGCAATTTAGTTCAATTCATATTTTAGAATTATTGTCATGCTAGCTGTATTTTGATATTATTCTTTTGTGATAGCTATTAGGTATAATTTATTCCAAAGATATAAAATTGTATTCGGGTCTTCAGTGGGAATTTCACTGTTTTAAACTAAAAGTGGGGATAATTTTCTTATTAAAAAATCCGCGAGTTAACCAGTGTCACAGAAAATGGAGGTGAAGGAAATTTAATATTTAAGCCAGCGTCTCCTGTCTGTTCATTACCAGGAGACTTTAGCTCTCATTCTATATACGAATATGTGCAGGTATGGTAATTTGTGAAAACAAGACTGATCTTCATTAGGATAAGAGCTTTTCCGCAATAATGTATTATTACATTACAAAAAGTGTATATTAATACTTTTTCCTTGAGAAGTATAACGGACATTAATTTCTACCTTGCTGGAATTAGAAAAGATTACATGATTTAAATTCAATGAGCTATTTATTCTGAAAGTGCTGCCACATGATTTATTTTATAACTGGAATATTTATTACTATAAAATTTGTAATGTTCAGTAAGTCGTAAGTTGAACATAGTTTTATTTCAAGGAAGTGAATATAAGATTGTAGCCAAAAGCCTTGAACTGCAATAAAGAATAATACTTTGTATCTGTTATTATATTCTGGTGTTTTTCATATAGAGAATTGTTCTGTGTAATTATTTACATATTCAGAAAAATATGTTTTTATCATAGTACTTTAATGTGTCTTGCTTTTTTGCTTCAAGGGTGTTTAATATATTTCTCTTTAATAATTGTAAGAATAGCCCACTCCGAAGTTTTCATACCCACCTTCTAACAGCACTTTATATTGCTACAATTGATTTTTTAAAATTACATTTGTTTACAACTTTATAAAGTTTTCACAATGCTATGCATTACAATAATAAGGACTTTGGACAACTGCTGCAACTTGTTTTATAACTTCTGACTTCAAAATTATTTTTCAAGTTGGAGAAGACTTTTCCAGTTAAATCATCCAATTTATACATTTATTATTTATTTATTAGTTTGATTTATATGCCACCCTTCTCTGGAGACTCAGGGCGGCTTACAATTCTTTTAAGCAGTAGTCTTCATACTTTTGTATATACCTGCTTAGTAGGGCTTTTTTGGTCCCCCCTAAGCGGTGTTCTATTTTATACAAAGTCAGCTTATTGCCCCCACAAACCGGATCCTCATTTTACCTACCTCAGAAGGATGGAAGGCTGAGTCAACCTTGAGCCTGGTGAGAATTGAACTCGCAGTAATTGCAGGCAGCTGGCAGCTAAATACTACTTTAACAGTAACATTCATATTTGCAAAACATTTTGAATATTTAGTGAAAGTTTAAACTTTATTTTATACCAGTTAGAATAAGCTGAGTTTTCCTTCTGACCCTTGGACATTTGCCATTAAGATCTTCTGGTTTGTTAAGCTATTTTTCTTTACTATTTGAAGGAAGAAAGTAGTTTTAAGTATTGTCTGAAATCTGATTGAAATACAAAGTTTCTTAAAGGAGGTATTTAAGCTTTATAACAGTCTCTTCTAAGACTCAGAGTAACCTGCAATGTAATCACGAGACTTCTATAAAGCCCTATCCATGAAAGTAACTGTGACACAGCAAACCATTGTCCCAATATAAAATTATGTATTCTATATATTCTCCAAACCATACTTAAGTCTCTTGTCATAGCCTTTCTCTAGACTGGGTACATTTGTTGGGGAAAATAAATGTTTTTATGGTCACAACCCCCCCCCCCCCACTTTTTAATAGTCTCCAAGAAATTGTGATAATTACATTGTAAACTTACCAGAGAATACTTCGGGTATTTCTTTTACTCTTGCTTTTGGTGGACCTGTGTTTTTAATTAATCATTTTTTTATATATTTAAGGAAATGCATTTAAACTTCTACTAGTCAACCCATTAATTTCTGTTTTTCTGCCAAATCAGGGCACTCTAAATCAAATAAAAGGAATTTGCAGCTGCATCCAGCCTATGACTGAGTATCTCTGCTTTACTGAAATATGAGTAATAGGAAATTCCTAGTGCATGCGATGAGTGTTTTTAGATTTTAAATAAATAGGGGGGAAAGGGAATTGCCCATACTGCATAAACTTATCAAAAGAACAAAACTTGGGAATTGCCATTGCTGTGCACAAGGGTGCTTTGGTCTCCGGTTTCTTTATAATTCGTTTAGCATCAAAAGCCTGGGAAGTGGTGCCATAAAATGGCAGAAAATGGATAAATGTGGCTCCTTACCAACTCAGGCCGCTGCTGAATTTCCACTGCCTATAGCAAAATGACCCTGGAAGAGACTAGAAAAGAGGAAAGTATATCTATCTATGCCAACCTAAAATAATTAATTGATGCTGGGCTGAGTCCACCTTTTAGGGGGTTCTTTTGCTCCTTCCTCCCAAATGGCTGATGAAATATATCTGATTGAATCCAGAGTAAAATTGCTATGGCAGATATAGGATAGGTGGTACTTGGCTCAAAAATATAAAGTAAGAGGGATCTTGGGAGTCCTAATGGACAATCAGTGTGCTGCAGCTGCCAAAAAAGCCTACGCAATTCTAGGCTGCATTAACAGAGGAATAGAGTCAAGATTATGTGAAGTGTTAATACCACTCTATAATGCCTTGGTAAAACCATACTTGGAATACTGCATCTAGTTTTGGTCGCCATGATGTAAAAAAGATGTCGAGACTCTAGAAAGAGTACAGAGAAAAGCAGCAAAGATGATTAAGGGACTAGAGGCTAAAACATAGCAGGAATTGAGTGTGTCTAGTTATTGAAAAGACATGATAGCAAGTGTTCCAATATCTCAGGTTGCCACAAAGAAGAGGAAGTCAACCTATTCTCCAAAGCACCTGAAGGCAGGACAAGAAGCAATGGATAGAAATGAGAAGCAACCTAGAAGGAGAAATTTCCTGACAAAACAATGTATCAGTGGAACGACTTGCCTCCAGAAGTTGTGGGTGTTCCAACACTGGAAGTTTTTAAGAAGAGATTGGACACCCATTTGTCTGAAATGGTTTAAGGTTTCCTGCCTGAGCAGGGGTTTGGACTAGAAGACCTCCATGACGTCCCTTCCAATTCTGTTATTCTGTTTGTTCATGCCAAAAGGGAGAAATGTTTTAAGAGCAGGCCATCAGAGGATGATTTGGCTGGAGTATGGGACAACGATAAGATGAGACATGTCCTGAAGAAACAAAAGGTAAAAGTGGCTATCAGGACTTGTTTGTATTGTGGTTAGATGCTTGTGTAAATATTTACTTAGTCGTATTTTAAGTTATAAGAATGGTATCTTCTATTTTCCATTGCCCAGGCACTTCTACAGATAAATCTCATTGTACAGCAAATTGCTATAGAGAGAGAGGTGATAATGGTCACAGTCTGTTTTCTTCTGAGGCTGAACTATTGGTAATAATAAAACTTGCAATGTGTCACAATAAACATTTGGACTGATCCAGCCAATTTTTATTTGAACTGGTAAAACAAACTTTCATCTCATTAATTTCTTCTGAAAACAGAAGCTTGCTCTTTTATAGTATAATAGTAGGCAAAAAGGACAGCTCCCCTTTATAAAATTGGAGCCTGTTAAATATTTAATGAAATTCTCAGAGACTTCATCCAAGATCTATTATTGGAGAAAATCAGGGATATGACTTGTAGGGAAACAGTGGCAGAGCAAATAAATAATTACAATGCATAACAAAAGCATACAGTTGAAATCATTTCCATAAAATAAAAATCCCCCTTCTCCCAAGCGTATTGCACATTTACTCTACTATTCCCTAGGTTGCTATATTTTTAACAGATCTCCATGTTCTGATTCCAGGGGACCAGGGCACTGCTTCTCTGCCTATAAGTTTGAAAGGAAAAAGATTCTTAGTTCCTCTCTCTCATGAGAGAAAAGGCTAAAAGGCCAAATAGAGATGCCCCTGCTTTTTCAAAACTCCTTAGAGGGGATCTTCCTATACCTGGTTGGATATTTGATATTTAGTTTCATAGGACTTGATTATGTCTGCCCTCTCTCAAAATCAAAAGGCTAAATTTGGTTGACATATAGGAGTATTTTAAATTGATAGTGATAAGTTGGTCTGGCACCTGTTTTTTTTGCTTATAGATTGTAAGAAAAATGCTTTAAGACGGAAAAATTATTTGCCATAATGATACAATTTAGTTCTAGGCATATTTTCTTTTAAGTATCACTGAGTTCAGTGAGAAATATTCTTAAATAATCATGCTTAAAATTGCAGCCTTAGGCTTAATCACATCAGTTTGCTGTACACTATGTTTCTGAAGTATCTTCTATAAAGACCCATTCTCTATAAAAGTGTTTGTGTGTGTACATAGGGAGACAGAGAATATATACAGTATGTACTTACTATCATGCCAGTTATAGTTCTGTATAGAACATAACTTTGCCATCTGCTGAACAGAAAGTGGCTTGGATGTGTCTGAAGGAAACTACAAATAATTTGTTTCTATTTAGAAATGGATTTCAGTATCTAAAACAACATTCATATGCAACTAAGGTCAAGAAAATCTATTGATTAAAAATGGTTAAATATAGTGCTATACATTTTTCGGTATTCAGCATGAGGGATTCAGAAAAAGCCCACAGGCTTGTCAGAATCATTGAAGGTAGCCTTCATTGAAGGTAGCTGCTTTTGAAAAATCCCCTCACTTCTTGCAGTTCGGCTTTGAAATCTATTAGGATTCATTTTCAAAATACTCAGGCTTTAAAATAGAAGCAGCACTCTTCTCATTCATCTGTGGGGAAAACCATAGCATAATGATTACCCAGAGGGACCATTGCAAATGGAAGCTGTAGTATATTACTAAGATTTAGTACACTTCTACGATGGGAAAAAGCCTTGTAGACAGGACCAGTAGGTATATTATTATTGAGGACTTGAAGACAGCCACTAGTCTGTCTCTTTAGTTAGATTTTTAATATTCTATATTTGTGCTTTTTAAATATTCCTTTCAAATTTCAAGAACAGCTGTGTAACCAGGAACACATATGTCAGGATATTACACAGATAACCATCTGGTGCCTGGTTCTGCTTGACTGAATCTCAGCTGGAGAGTTTGAATTCATATCTACCCATGACAACTAAAATAGAGGGGTGCATATTATTCCACTCAAATCACCCCACTGGGATTTCTCATTGAGTGGCATTTTAATATGAACAGAAAGTGCATCTCTGCTTGGCTGAATATTTCCATTCATTGTTCATAAAAAACTTAGTAATCAACTCTGCTCCAGAAATTTTACTTATGGGGAAGGAGGGAAATTCACCCTCTTTGTAGAGTAATTTCTCTGTATTGGAACTGAATCTTAGATTATTTAAATATGAGGATAATATAATGTGGTAAAACTTGCCGAACTAAAAATCATTTTAGTTTACCTTAATGAAAATAATAAAGTCTATATATGCACACATTATTTGGATATCAAACTGATTTGCGCTCAAATCCATATAACCATAATGCTATGTTGAATGGCATACACATACAGTATGTAGGGCAGTAGAATGCTGTATGATATAATTAAGCTCATTACACATCTATGCAGTTTTTTCAATCAATTTCTGCTGCATTTGTTAGCAAATAATATATTACTATAGAAATTTTTCCCTAGTTTGGTTGGTTCAAATAGCATTTGAAATAAAAATATTCTGCTATAATTCCAGAATTTTCTTTATCATGAGGATAATCCTCATACCATATAAAGCTTATGTTGTTGGTACTTCTAGGTATCTTCTACCAAGTCCATTATTTGAGCCACCATAATGCTCCAGACTGATGAGGCCTAGGTATGACTCCTTTGAGGGCTTTGATCATCCCTGGCATTACCCAATTATGCTTCACCTTTTACCTTTTATACTACAGTATCATTTAATTACAAATGTAGCTGAGAAGAACCAAAGGAACTATGAAATCCTTAGTGCTCTTTGAGGTTTATTGTTTGTTTGCAAACATTTCACTACCTGACTAGGTAACATTATCAGTGTGTGCGAGTGTACCCCTTTAAATGAATCAATTCTCTATTCAATGAACAGGGCATCAATACTTTAATCAAGAAATTACCAAGGAGAAAACCATACCCCCACCAACACTGGTAGGGTAAGCTATTCTATAAAAACAAAGTGTAAACTCCATACACACTTATACTGATGATATTACCTAGTAGGGTAATGAAATGTCTGCAAACAAATAACCAAACTTAAGAGGGCACCAGGAACTACACATTTCAACCCTGAGCAACCCTAACCCTTTTGAAGCCAAAAGAACTACAATTTAGACAAAGACTTCTGGAAGGCAAGAGAGAAGTATGTAATATTTAAGGAACAGCCTCGAGCTAAAGAAATAACCTGTTGAAGGCTGCACATGGTCGGTAACCACAATGTATAGTATCTGTTAGGAAGAAAAATGATAAACTGTGAGCAGAGTGAAAGGAACAGCCTGAAAAAGAAATACAGCAGGCTAAAATGTAATTTAGTTGAGTGTGCTTCCATCCCATAATTATAATGCACTCATCTGGAAATCAACTTCATTGAATTCTATTGAACTGTTTTGACTGCAAGGATTAAACATCCTGAGCTCGTCTGTAGCAATCCAGATTATTACACTGTAGCATTAAAGTGCAGAGTTATTTTCCAAGATCCCATTTTGATGTTAAATGTAAAATATTAAATGTAAAATGCTGCAGGAGCAACAGATGTAAAAATTGTTTGCAGGTTGTTTTGTTTTAAATTTAGATTTGTACGAAAATAAATGATTGCCTATGCTTCTGTAACTATTTTTATGTTTTCTGAAATATGTGATTTTGCTTGTTAAAAGGTTGTTTTAAATTATGCATTTCTGATTCTAAGACAAAGCAAACAGTGTTTATGTTTAGAAGCTATTTTGGGAACTTTACAACATTGGTTTTCCATTCGGCTTGTCCCAGTGTTAGTTTGGAATTAATGCTTTGTCAAATTGTTTCCATTAGGCCTATATTACATTGGTGAATTGAGCCCCTATTGCAATTGTCAAATGAAGCTTTAATTCCTCAGTGGCCTTGATGTGTCTGGCCCGTTAATTACTGTTAGACTAGGCTTGTGGTACATGATCAAGTTTCCAGTGCTTATTGATTAGTTCTTTTAGAAATATAATGTTTTAAAGCTATTTGTACTTAACCTTTTATAAAAGTTGTGCAGTTGCTGAGTACTCTGGATTTTAATTCCCCTAACGTTTTTGCCAGTAATGTCCAATATCCTGAAGAGTAACTTAAAAAGGTTTATTAGGACTTCACAAACATAGTTCCATTTCATGTGAACTATAGAATGCAGGATTGATGTCCTCTTTGTAGGACAAAGAGACTACTTGTTCTTTTGTGTAAATGCACAATAGTATCTGTTAGATAGTGGGCGCAGAAGGAACACAGGACTAGGACTTCAGTTACAGCAGTTTATTAGCTCTGGTACAGCAATGAACTGTGAGCCCCGGCAGCCTCTTTTAAAGGGAGCTGTCCATGGCTTTAGCCACTGACAGGTTTCCAAATTTGTTTGGAAACCAAACAATTTGTTTGTTTCCAAACAAATTCCGCTCTATTTGTTTGAATCTAATTGGTCCGTTTGAATTGTCATTCAATACTCAACACCCCTCCCCTTTAGATCAGCACTGACCAATCCTGGAGTCTCTTAAGCCACGTAGTCACGCAAGTAGGCTGGTCTTCTCGGGGCAGGATTTGACCTGTGCAGTTCAGGATAGGATAGGATAATTTTCAGTTGTTCAGTTCAGTTGTTACAGCGGTCTCGGAGTGAGCGGTTGAGTTCTGTGTGTCTCCCGGAGGCGCTTTCTGAACTTTCTCGAACTCTGCTGCTGGCACGGGCCTATCTTGCTGGACATCTATCCCTTCCTCCCCCAGCTGGAACGGTGGACTGTCGCTGCCCTCGAGAACTCTCTCCTGGACCCCAGATAAGTGTTCGCTGTCTCTGGTCAGGTTTGAGTGCTGTCTCTGTTGTTCGTTTGTTTGTGTTCTGTGTAGGGCATGGCTTGTTTCTGTGGTTTCTATGTGAAGTTTCTTTTCTCACCCTTGTGTTTCATCTTGTGAGTCGTGTTCCTTTCTGACTATTCAGCATCTCAGCATTCTTGGTGATAGGATGGGGGGGGGTCTGTCTCCCGCGATGATCCCCAGGAGTGGCTTGTGGTCCGTGATTAACTCAAACTGTCTTCCGTATAAGTATTCATGGAATCTTTTGATGCCCGCCACGGCGGCCAAAGCTTCCTTGTCGAGTTGACTGTAGTTTCGCTCGGGCTTGGATAGCGTTCACAAGTAAAAAGCGATGGGGGCTTCTCTGCCATTTGGCATACAATGGCTTAACACGGCTCTGATGCCAAACGGGGATGTGTCGCAAGTTAGTCTTAATGGCAGCGTTCCGCTATACTGCACAAGTATGCTTTGTCCGAAGTTAGCAGTTTTTTTACTTGTTCAAATGCGTTTGACTCCTTCCTCCCCCATGTCCAGTCTGTTCTCCTGTCCAATAACCAGTGTAGTGGCTCAGAAATCGTGGCCTTCTGTGGCAGGAAAACATTGTAAAAGTTCAATAGTCCCAGAAATGTCTGTAACTCTGTTTTATTCCTGGGGGTTGGTGCCCCTCTGATTGCCTTTAACTTTCCCAGGATGGGTCTTATTCCCGAGCCATCGATTAGGTAGCCCAAGAACTCCACTTGTTCCTCTGCTAGTTGGCACTTGTCCCTTTTCACCTTTAAACCCACCTCCTGGAATGTGGTTAGCACTGCCCTTAAGTGCTGTTGCAGTTGTTTCTGGTTGTTTGCTGATATCAGCACATCGTCAAAATAGGGAACGACTCCCTCGATTCCCTGCAGGAGTCGCTCCATGAGGCTTTGGAACAGGCCTGGGGCTACACTTACTCCAAACTGCAACCGTTTGCATTTGAATGCCCCCCTGTGTGTGACGATTGCCTGTGCTTCGGCTGTGGCATCATCTACAGGTAGCTGTTGATATGCCTGGGCCAGATCGAGCTTTGCAAATATCTTTCCTTGCCCCGGGGAGTGTAAAAGATCTTGCACGATGGGCACTGGGTATGCGCTCTGTTGTAACGCCTTATTCAGGGTACTTTTGTAGTCTCCACACAGGCGCACTGACCCATCCGGTTTCGGGGGGGCTCTATTTGTTTGAATCTAATTGGTCCATTTGAATTGTCATTCAATACTCAACTGCCCTATTTTGTGTATGACTAAAATGGTACCTAGCATTTTGCCTCCCCACTCTGGAAACTCTTCGTCTCCAAAAATGGGTAACTTAACTTTGGGCTAAGGAAACTCAGGATTAGTCTTTTTCAGCAGTCCAATGACTTCGAGTAACAAAAGACAGTCCTAGTATTCTTCTTGGTCCTTTTCCATACTGTTGCAAGAAGGAGGTTTCACACTGCCAGCTTTGCAATTGACACTCCACTGTTCTATTTCCTCATTCAGTCAGGGAGGGACGGAATGGCTGAGAGAAAACCACCCATTGGGATGCTATGCTCCTTGACTTTTTCCCTTTCAGGAGCTCTTTATCAGTATGTGGAAAATGTCTTTTGCTCAACGACTACGGCTGAGTAGCTGGAGCCTCTATTCCTGTATGATTACTATGCTCGTGGATTTGTACTATTAATATTTTTTATTAATGACTTGGATCATTTGGTAGATGGAAAGCTAAGCAAATGTGCAGATGACCCATGAAGGAACTAACCAGCTAAGTAAGTCAATTTCTTTATTACAGGTCACAGACAGTGGTGGAATTCAAATTTTTTTACTACCGGTTCTGGGGCCGTGGTTTGGTGGGCGTGGTGTGGCTTGGTGGGTGTGGCAGGGGAAGGATACTGCAAAATCTCCATTCCCATCCCACTCCTGGGGGAAGGATATTGCAAAATCTCCATTCCCACCCCACTCTGGGGCCAGCCAGAGGTGGCATTTGCCGGTTCTCCGAACTACTCAAAATTTCCGGTGGTGGTTTTCCAGAACCTCTTAGAACCTGATGAATTTCACCCCTGGTCACAGATCCAACGTGCATATCAAAACAATCAGATTGAATACAATAAGGAAGACACAAAAATAAATAAAAATTTATGAGAAAATAGCATAAAAATTTGACAGAGCTTTGTGGAGAACGCTATTCTCCACAGTACAGTCAAAAGTATTAATGTGCCACTCGTGGTAATGATGATGACAATTTGTCCTCTGGTATTTGGCAGAATCTCTGTTGTAGCCCGCCAGAGGCCTGCGTGGATTGTTGCTGATCCCGACGAGGAGGCTGGTGTAGTGCTGTGCCAGCAGCCTGTGCAGCCGGCACTCGAGTCGGACAGCGAGGAAGCTGAAGAAGATGTGGTGCCAGAGGCAGGGATTCAGTCAGGGCCTTCAGAAGCTCCAGAGGCTCCTTAAAGTGAAGAGGAGGAAGAGGAGGAGCCTCTTCTCAATCCACGGGCACGCAGAGCTGCCAAAAGGCAGGAGTGGTTCCTCAGGAGGAGGTCTCTTCGAGAGTAAGGCTTGGGGCTAATTGGCCATTCCCTTAGCCTATTTAAGAAAGAACACAGCTTGCAACAAGCTGCAGGAAACAACTTTAGTTCGCTAATCATTGCATTGGGATTTCTCTACAACCTTGCTTATGGACTTTTTGCCAACTCCAGTAAGACTCTGACTATCTTATCTGTGGAATTCTGGCAGGCTGTTAAGAATGCTTATTAACAGCTGGCATTTGTTAAAACTGCGTTATTTGAATAAACTAAGTTTTGTTCAGAGTTTGTGTGTGCTGTGTTCTTTGGGATCCGTAGCTGGGGCAAAACAATCTCACCTATGTGCCACTATCAGCTGAGCCCAGGCTATACAAGCAACTTTTCCTTTTTGATGACAGTCATATATTTAAAGTGCTTCTTCTGAAGCAGAACTCTTCAGAATGGATTCTGTCTATAAGTCCTAAGTACAGCAGTTGATATAGGTAGTCCTCACTCAATGTCCATTCATTCAGTAACAATTTCAACTATCACTACTGGTCCTCTTTCATACACCAATTTCTTTCTCTTGTCACCTGGGTCTTCCTTTCACATGCTGGACAGAGCCTCCTTTTGCAAAAGAAGGCCTCAACCAGTGCACAAAAGGAGGCTGGAGCAACAACAACAAAAAAAAGGTAGACAAAAAGATTGGCTGGTAGTGGCACATAGTGCAGCAGGCCTGGTTGGTGTGGCAGGAAGGGTTGGATAGTGAGGGCAGATGGTAGCAGTGGGAAGGTGGATGGGCAAAAGGACAGAGATAGGGGAGAGAGAGGTTTTCCAAGACTTGATTTTCCACTTTGATTTGGGTAGATCCTCACTTAATGACTGCACAGGATTCTCTCAATGACAGCAACTGGGATTACCATAATTGCTGTTGTTAAGTGACATTTTGCTTAATAACCATATCACTTAGTGACACTTAGGTTAATTAAATAAGGATTACTTGTATTTTTTAAAAGAAACATCAGCTCAAGAGAAGAGAATTTAAACTTTATTAGGACTGCTAATGTTGTCTTAAATAAAGCTAGAATGCTATGATATACCTTCTATTTAGTGGAGACTAATATGGCCATATTTCCACTTTGCCTTCCTGACAAAATATGGGCTTTTAAAAACTTGATCACAATTCTAATAACCTAAACAACAGATTTAAACTAAATTTAATCTGGATAGATTAGGAAATGAACAGAAATTAGTAGAATGAGATTTAAGAGAAACAATACAATTTCTTCAGTTAGGAAACCAAACTCTCAAGCACATGTTGGAGGATTCCTAGCTTGGTAAATGGCATCTGGGGAAAATATTTTTACATTTTTTATATTCTTGATGGTTTGGAGAGTACGAATGTTGGACTAAGTTCAATTCCATACTCAACTATAGAAGCTCCCTGGCTCATTGGGCCAGTTTCAGAATAATTAACCATACATGACTGATTTGTGAAGATTTAATTGGAAAAAGGAATACAATGCATGTTGCCTTGAAGTCTTGGAGGAAAGACAAGATAAACATCATAAAAAACAATTAAGATCTTAAGCAGAGTTTGATGGAAAACACCAAAGGTTTAGTTATCTAATGCCCTCTTTTATAGCATGAGCAGCCAAATGAAAACTCACATTTGGCTCATTATCTATAATAGCTAGGATTGGTTTTGTGATAGCCTGTGTATATCACTACATACTTAAATTGCATATTACATTACTCTAGACAGAAAGGAGAAATAATATTGTATTTGTCTATCTACCCAGTTGAGGGAGAGATTTTTTGGAGCTTTTTCCTTTTTTTTTTTCTATTCCTAAAAATATCATCTTTAAGCCTGAAATCTTTTTTAAATAGGTAAAAAGTATCAGCCCTAATACAGGGTTTGATTGGTGATAAAGGAAGCAGAAGAAGTCTTGCTGCACAGCCCAGCTTGGGCATTAATTTTGCTACAATCCTAATATCTTGAGCCATGGTGGCACAGTGGTTAGAGTGTAGTACTGCAGGCTACTTCTGCTGACTGCCGGCTGGCTGCCTGCAATTTGGCAATTCAAATCTCACCAGGCTCAAGGTTCATTCAGCCTTCCATCCTTCCATTGGAGGCAATATGCTGATTCTGTAAACGGCTTAGAGAAGGCTGTAAAGTGGTATATAAGTCTAAGTGCTATTGCTATTGTATATGAAGCATGTGTGCTCAAGTTTGCCATAGCATGCTACACATAGGTAAATGTCTAACTGTTGTCCCAAAAAGCTGGGTTCATACCTGGTGTGCCACGCTCAATGAAACAGACACGGAGGTGGAGACTGCAAAGACTTTATTCTGCACAGAAAAAAACCCACGGGGTTTTCTCCCACTAGACCTGTGCAAAGGGCACTACTTCAATAGTACCATCTACACACTACCAGGTTATTTAGTATCAAGGCCTATATGCTTCTAAATGTTAGCATTTTAATATAAAGATATTAGGGGAAAGGGTACTCGGAACATCATATATTTTAAGAAGATACTTAATTGATACTCAGGACGCTGGCAGCAATCCGTATCAACCATTAGCACCAGTCAATCATATTTGTGACACATTTTTAAATGTTCAGTTGACTGAGTTTCATGTTTAATTAATAAAAGAGATAATAATAGTAATAGTAATAATAAAACGTTCATGTGCAAACTCATTCTTCCCACAAAGCAAATTTGTTATATAGAGACAGCAGGTATAGGGTGTGATGGTTAGAACACCATCTTTGACATGATAGACTAGGATTTGAATCAGTAGTGGGTTCTACTTACCTTCGCTACCGGTTCGGAATCGGGAGCGTGTGTGTGTGTGCTCTCGCTTCGCTTGGCGCTTCTGCGTAATGTGCATGCGCAGAACCTTCCGCATGTGCAAGAGCATCTGTGATGATGTCTGGGTGGATGGACAGAGCCTCCCACCTCCACCACTACTGGTGTCCTGTCCCCTCCCACGAGTGGCCTTGCAGAGGCTCAAATAGCCCGACAGTAACAAACGCAGGCTAGAGAGGCTAAAGCTGGCCCTTTAATAAATAGTTCTCTTCCAAAGAGTATATCAGTGCAATAGTTACTGGGCAATGTTCCAAAGGTCTTGGCAGACGGCCAGCAGAATAATGCAGGAATGCAGACTCTTGTCAAAAAACCTCCAAACTAACAGTTGTAAATCCACTGCATCCAAAACGCCAACAAATTGTTCACCACGCCTTTCCAGCCCAGTCACACCCCTTTTATATTTTGTAGGGTGTGGCCCTATGTCTCCTGACCACACGTCTTGGGACGTGGCAATAGCTGTTCTGTACGATGTCTCCTACGTCTCTCTCTTGCATCCAATAGGGGCTCCCCTCGTCGTTACCGGCCTCTGTTTCCTCCTCAATTTGGCTGGGGTCCAGAGGCACGTCAACAACTGTCAGTTCTTGCTGACTCACCATTGAAGACGGCCCCTCCGGCACATAGCTCGTGACAGCTTCCTCCTCCTCCATATCATCCTCCAACTCAGCATGCGAAGATAAATCAGCCTCCGGGGCACTGGTTTGCCTGAACCAGGGCGAACCAGTAGAAACCCACCACTGGTTTGAATCCCAAGTTCTGCAAATTGGGGCCAAATAAATGTGACTAGATAAATTTGTTTTGCAAATAGTTTCTGTCCTAAATTACTATATAAGAGAATTCAGGTGAAAAGACTGTTTCCCTTGCCTAATGAAATCTTCCCATCCCTGCAAAGGCATATGCATTTTAGTAAATTTGTGTGTGGGATTGAGAACCTGAAAAAACACAGATTTGTTTAGGAAATATTATGAACTGATCACTTCAATATTTGTTCTTCTGGTGACATTATTGTCTAGACTTCACTGAACAATTCAATTGCTGCTACCTATCTTTCGTTAGAAAAAATAGTGAATGATGGAACCTGCATTGGATGTTGTTTATAATTTTGCAATCTTGGTATTGTAGACAAGACAGATGAGGAGGAAAAGATATAGGCAGCCCAATGGAAAAGTTGGCATTGGTATTAGAAATAATAGTTAAATTATTTTGCTACAGGAGCAGTAGTGGCATCTGGTTTGCTTTATCTTGTACAGACTGGCTACTTTCAGGCTCTTTGTACCTGAAAATAGCCTCAGCAAAGGAAAAGATGAACCTTAATAGCTTTTTAAAATTGTAATTATGCTGTTAGAAATCTTGATACATTGTATCAATACAGTGGCATTTATATAATATGATTAAATATTGCTAACATTCTGTTATGTAGATAGATTAGAGTACTGAGAATAGGGAAGAGAAAAAAATATTCTGTCAATGCTAGTTACAATTTAGGATGTCATTATTTGGTTTCGTCATCAAACGTTGAGTATAAAACTGAAAAAAGATCAGTATGATTCACATTGAAGTATGTGCTGTATAATAGAGGTTCCAATCTTAAACATTATTTAATATTAATTTTTTTATTATATTTTGTGTATACATGCACACAAACGTTAATGGAAGAAAAGAAATAAACCAAGCAAATTTAACAATAATTAAATACCAAAAAATTAGAAAAAGAGAAAAAAAAAAACGATTGGCTTTCTGAGTCCCCCTTAGAAGTGATTATATTTGTCATACTGTGTGATGTGTTGTATATATGGGAATCATTCTTGCTTAAATTTAGTTAAACTTGTAATTCTCCCTCTCTCTCTCCCTCCCTCCCTCTCTCTCTCTCCCTCCCTCCCTCCCTCCCCCCCAACCTATACGGGTACCAACCTACACATACAAATATGAACAAATACAGATCCATTGCTGCATATTTTCCAGGTTTAAGTTGCTAATTATATATTGTTGCAGTTGGGTCTTCCTTCCAATGTTGACTGAAATTTATTCTTACTGCTTTAAGCTTGTATGTCATTAAATGTTTATATGTGATAAAACATTCCTTCTGTTTCATGACATTTCTGACATTTATTACTTTATCATCTGGCTATCTTAAATATTATATTGAATTTATATCATTTTTATAGAATAAAAGGCAAATTTGAAAGAAAAAAAAGAAAGTGCAAGAAAAAAAGAGAGGTTGAAGAAAAAAACTCTACAGTTAAGCAACATATTAATGATTTCAAACCTTCTTTTCAACAGTTAAGCAACATATTAATGATTTCAAACCTTCTTTTCAACAGATTTTTACAATCTTATTGTCCCTCCTTTTCTTAGATGCTAGTATCTTAAATATTGATGGAGTTGAATACCATCTGTAAAATATTTTGTACCAATTTTCCTTTCAGTTATATCCT